GCTGACACCTCTCAGGTAGGGTCCTGGAGGATCTTTATGGGGAAACTGAACAGCCCAACAAGGTCAATGGATACTCACAGGTGAGGTCCCCATTGACATGGGTTGGCAGGATCACCCTCCAGTAAAGCCCATCCATTGATCAGCTTCATGCTAGCTTTTTAGTGTTCACTCTTACATGTGAACAAATCGTCAAAGATCATTTGTCATTTCAAAAAAGCTCTCTAAAATAAAATAGAATGAAAAGAAAAAAGAAAGAAAGATCCAGGTCAGTGTGGCTCAGTGGTTGAGCATCAACCTATGAACCAGAGGTCACAGTTCTATTCTGGTCAGGGCACATGCCCAGGTTGCAGGCTCGATCCCCAGTAGGGGGCGTGCAGGAGGCAGCCAATCAGTGACTCTCATGATTGATATTTCTATCTATCTCTCTCTCCCTCTCCCTTCTTCTCTGAAATAAAAATATATAGATTTTTAAAAAAAGAAAGAAAGAAAACAGAAGAAACAAACTTGTAGAAAACAGGAACAATGCAGGAAGTAGAAGAGACAATTTTTTAAAACATACTTAATATCCTTTGCGATTTAAGAGAAGCTATTGCATCCATGAAACAAGAACATATGCTATAAGACAAGGAACACTCAGAGAAAAACAACAAGGATATTTGCAAATTAAAAAACAAAACACTGATATGTTTGCAGAACAACATGGATAAATCTCAAAAACATCTAAAAGTCACAAAGTGGGTGGGGTGGGCGGAATGGGGATATCTATAATAGTGTTAACAATTTAAAAAAGAAAAAAAAGAAGCCAGACACAAAAATGTATCTGCCATTCAATTTCATTCATATGAAATCCAAGAACCAACAAAATGAACCTACAGTGACAGAAACCAGAAAGTGGTTGCCTAGGAGGAGAATGGACTAGAGAGGGGCACAGGGAACTTTCTTAGATGAAAATGTTCTATATCTTGTTTAGGTGGCATTTATGTGGGTGTATTCAATTATCAAAATTTATTTAACTGACTAGCCGAGACCTGTGCACATTATTCTATGCTAATTATATATTAATAAAAGCATATTTGCAGTCCTGGCCAGGTAGCTCAGTTGTTAGAGGATTGTCCAAAATGTCCGGGTTCAATTCCCAGTTAGGGCATATACAAGAATCAGCCAATGAATGCATAAATAAGTGGAACAACAAATCGATGTTTCTCTCTCTCAAATCAATTTAAAAAATAAAGAATAAATAAAAACATATTTGCAGAAATAAAAAGCTCAATAGAAAAATTAAGCCTCTAGATCTAGCTATCAATGTACAGGAAATACACAGTACAGAGGAACGTGTAACTGATACCACCAAAGTACAGTCAGCAAAATCTGACTGTGGCAGACTCTACAGATTAGCCAGATTTTCCCAATAAAAACTTGCAAGGGGTGGTAACAGAGGAAGATTTTATATATTCACAGAGATTTAAGAGACATATCCATCAATCATATGGATTATTTGAATCCAAATTTAAACAAACTGTTTGGAAGACAAATATATAGGACAATTGGGACAGCATTAGCATATCCAGATATTTGAAAATATTAAAGAATTATTGTGATTTAAGTGAGAGAATGGTATTGTAGTGATTGGTTTTTGGATTTTTTAAAAATGACTTTATCTTTTAGAGATTCATAGTGAAATACAAAGGATACGAGGTCTAGGATATTCTGGGGCAGTCGGAGTGGGCAGGGGAACAGGAACAGCGCATATAATATGTAATTTGGGTGACCATATATTCGCTTGCCCAGTTTACATCTGTTATCCATCCCTCTGTTGATCCATTAATCGATCATATCTTTTATGTATTTACAGTAAGTTCCCTTCTTTTTCCTACCTCCACCCCCCAGCACCTTCACCTTGCTCATATCACATGACCACCCTGGGTGCAAAGGATGCTGGGAGGTGGAGTACTTAACCTCCTGGCCTATAATAGAGAGATACAAGGGAAAGGGAAGACTGGGATTGCCTTTTGCTACTTTGACTTACAGCATTTCTCAGACTCATCCACCTCCCCCTCCAGCCTCCCCTCCCACCATCGCATCCCATAGACCTTATATTTCAGAATGTCAAATTCCTTAAAGATCCTCAAAGGTCCCTGAACACCTCACATTTTTCCTGACTTCAACTCCTGCACAGGCCCGTTAGTGGGATAGCAGTCTCTCCCCTGTGGCTTTATACTCCCATTATGGCATTTACCCTACTTTATTGAATGAATTTTTGGACCTGTCTGTCTCCACCAGCCTGTAAGTTCCCAAGGGCAGGCGCCAGGCCTTATATGTCTTGGTATCTCTAGAACTCACTGCAGGGAATGGCTCCATAGTGAATGGAAAACATCTAGTTACCAGCTTTTACTGCGGTTTACACCGTCTTGTTGGGCAAGCACCAAGGGAGGCAGTAAGTACCTGGTTTGGATACAAAGATGAGTAACTATATCCTGGGCCTCAGAGGAGCTTACAATACCCTTTTGTCCGGGCAAATGCAAAACTAGACAAGACACCAGAACAACAGATGTAAACCGGGACCGTCCCAGGCAAACCGGAATATACGCTCACCCAAATTACATACTACGCACACGCTGCCTCTGTGAAAACAGCAGTGCCATGCTGACTCATGCCAGCCTGTCAGACCCCAGTCACTCCCAGAATTCTCGTGCACAGCCAATTACTCCTCATTAGTGCTCGGGTCATTTAATTTTGTTTCTTGTTATCCGTGTAAAAATTATTACAAATTTAATATCCTAAGACATTACATACACGGTGCACATAAAAAACATATATTTGCCTGGCCAGCATGGCTCAGTGGTTGAGCGTCGACCTATGAACCAGGAAGTCACGGTTTGATTCCCAGGCAGGGTACATGCCCGGGTTGCGGACTCGATCACCAGTGTGGGGCGTGCATATATACATTTCTTGGTATTAACACTAGTCTCTGGTCTGTTGTCTTTATTGATGGGCATTGTGGGTGTTTCTAGCTTGTGACCATGATGAATAATGGAACTAAGAACATCTCAAAATAGATCCCTTTCTCTTCCTTCTGGGTCATTTCTTTGAGGTACATACTGCAAAGCTAAGTAACCTGGTTGAAAGACAGGAACAGATGATACATCAAATTTTCTATTGCTCTAAGTCTTACTGCTCTACTATAAGCTTATTGTCACTTTAAGGTGTTTTTGCTTGCATTTTTAATTGCTGTAGAAGTTATACATTATGCTTTAACCAAAAGCTACTTAGTTTGGGGGATAAAAACATATTGTCATGTAAATACATAGTTCATCATTACAAGGTATGTTGTAGGTATTCGTTAAATATTTGTTGAATGAATGAATGAATGTACTAAAATCACACACAGTCACAAAAAGTGACAAATACTGTATGACTCCTGTTATATAAGGTTCCTAGAGTATTCAAATTCATGGAGACAGAAAGTAGTATGGTGGTTGCCAGGGGCTGGGGAATTCTTGTTTAGTGGATATTAGAGTTTCAGTTTTGCAAGATGAAAAGCGTTCTGGAGATTCATTGCACATGATGTGAATGTTCTTTATTCTCTTGAACTGTACATTTAAAAATGACTAAGATGGTAAACTTTATGTTATGTGTATTTTACATATATATATATATATAATTTTTTAACTCAGTGGTCGTTTGGTATATATTGTCAGTAGAGGTATGCCTACATTATATGGTCATGCATGTTAAATGAAGTTTCATATGTGCGATTTTCTAGATTAAACGACTGTTCATTTTTTAATGCAGAGACAGACAGACCAAGATATGTGATGTTAATATTACTGCATAGCAAATAGAGTAGGAAACATCATAGACTAGATAACATTATGTGAACATTCAAAATTAGCAATGAAGTGCTCAACCTTATAACCTTAAAAAAAATAATGCATCTAATTTCCTGTTACCTGTGATTTAAAACAGACAGGCCTGGCCGGTGTGGCTCAGTTGGCTGGAACATCCTTCTGTGCACCAAAGGGTGACAGGTTCCATTCCTAAGTGGGGCCCATGCCTGGGTTTCAGGTTTGGTCACCCATTGGGGCCCGTGTGGGAGGCAACCGATCAATGTTTCTCTCTCACATCGGTGTTTTTCTCTCTCTGTCTCTCCCTTCCTCTCTCTAAAATCAGTTTTTTAAAGGAGAAAAATTGTTTAATAAATAAATAAAACAAACGCAGAACTTAGAGGTTTTAGAGCAGGGGGCCTCAAACTACGGCCCGCGGACCACATGCAAATACAAATATTGTATTTGTTCCCATTTTGTTTTTTTACTTCAAAATAAGATATGTGCAGTGTGCATAGGAATTTGTTCATAGTTGTTTTTTTAAACTATAGTCCAGCCCTCCAACAGTCTGAGGGACAGTGAACTGGCCCCCTGTTTAAAAAGTTTGAGGACCGCTGTTTTAGAGAATCCACTTGAACTTTTCACCTTTAAAGATGAGGTGAGGAGACTAAGAGAGGGCAAGTGATTTTCTCTCTTCAAGAGCAGCTACATTGTCGCTTTCATAGTGCACTCCAGCCAAGTCCTTTTTGTATGTCATTGGCCCAATGGATATTATGTCCTGCCCTGACTGCCCCAGAGCCTGCTGGGAAAGCAGGGAATCGAATGGGTTAGACACAATGTCATGCCAAATCTATAATAATAAAAGCGTAATATGCTAATTAGACTGGACATCCTCCGGACGAAGCGGGGGCTGCGAGGAAAGCCGGGGTCCTGGGTGCCTGCAGGCAGCCGGAGGGAAGCAAGCCTGGGTCCCGGGTGCCAGAGGAAGCCAGTGCTGGCAGCCAGGGGAAGGAAGGCTACTCTTGCATGAATTTCATGCATTGGGCCTCTAGTAAATTAATAAACCCCTTAACAAGAAAAGAAAAGGAGAATGGGTATTGGATAGACAATCAACAACTTCTGTTACACTCACATTAGTGTTTTTTGTTTTGTTCTGTTTTTGTTTGGGTGTTTCAGGCTGGAACCAATGGTTATATGGCGCCTGAAATCCTAATGGAAAAAGTGAGTTACTCCTATCCCGTGGACTGGTTTGCAATGGGATGCAGTATTTATGAAATGGTTGCTGGAAGAACACCATTCAAAGATTACAAGGAAAAAATCAGTAAAGAGGATTTAAAGCAAAGAACCCTGAAAGAAGAGGTCACATTCCAACATGATAACTTCACAGAGGAAGCCAAAGATATTTGCAGACTCTTCTTGGCTAAGAAACCAGAGCAACGCTTAGGAAGCAGGTAAATTACCATGTAATAGAGATGATTCGTGACGTCAGCATTGTCCACAGGCATTTGGAGAATGTTGTGGGTTAATGACAAAGCTTTGGGATTACGTTGTGTTATTATTGTCCTACTAGAGGACATTAGTGCACTCTGGGGTCCCTTAGCCCGGCCTACACCCTTTAGCAGTCCAGGAGCCCTTGGGAGATGTCCAACTGATGGCCACAGGGGGACAGCCTTAGCACTGCCACGGAGGTGGGAAAGGCTCCCACCGCTGCTGCTGTGCTCACCAGCCGTCAGCCTGGCTTGTGGCTGAGCGGCCCTCCCCCAGTGGGAGCACACTGACCACCAGGGGGCAGCTCCTGCGTTGAGTGCGCATCATAGCGACTGGTTGTTCAGAGGTTCCGTTGATTTGCATATTACCCTTTTATTATATAGGATTATTATTTGCATATTATATGGTTAAGTATTTCTGATATTTTCAAACTCTATGAGCAATTGATATGGAACTACCTCTAAGATATATTTTAAACTGAAAAAGTGAGGGGCAAAGCAGCATATATAAAAAGGAAGAAAGAAAATACATAATTCAAATAGCTGCATACACCATTTTAAGCAGAGTATACAAGGAATGTATAGGATTGGTTGCCTCTTACAAAGGGAAATTGGGGGCTGGTGACAGGGATGCAAATGAGGATTGTCACTATAGAACCCTATTATCTTTTGAATTTTGAACGACATGAATAAATTATCTATTCAAAAATTAAAGCTCAAAATAAAATTAAAACACCAGTACTGAGTGCCAAAGCTCTGGAAAATTCTTCCCCTATTAAAAGTCTCTGTAAAATATCATCAACCAGACAACAGATATTTAGTAAATACATATGATGTTGCCAGATTAGTTAATATAGTCAAAATTAGTTTTGAGGAAAGTCAAGTTTTATTGCTTACAATGGAATAATAAGATCAAGATATTTTAGAAGAAAAAAAATACATAAAAGTTGACCTATGAAGAAACCCTTGGCAGAGGGAGAAAAACAAGGGCTTAGAGCCACAGACCAGACTCCCATTCCAGCTCTGCTATCATTTGCTATGTACTGGCCGTTTTACCTCATGTAATTGAGTTACTTTCTCTGAGTCTCAATATCCTCCTATATAAAATGGGCAGGGAGGGTGGTGTGATGGTTAAACTCAGTATCAACTTGACTAGGCCACAGTACTCAGATATTTGATCAAGCAGTATACTAGATGTTTCTGCAAATATTTTTAAAAATGAGATTAACATATAAATCAGTAGGCTTCCAGTAAAGCAGATTATTCTTCAGAATGTGGATGGGCCTCATCCAATCAGTTGAAGGCCTCGGAGAAGAGAGAATTCTCCCAGAAAACCTAGCTCTGGACTTGAACTGCGACTCTTCCCTGGCTCTCTAGCCTGATAGCTTACCTTAAAGAATTTGGACTTGCCAAGCCTCCACCAGGAAAAATATTTTTCTCTACCCTCTTAGGTTCAAGAATGGAGACCTGCAAACTAAACTAGCAAAAGACATTTTCCTTTGTGTACATACGCAAGAGTTCACAGACAGATGTGACTAGGAGGTGGTTAGAATTGGGGGCTTATGTGCCATCTTAAGAGGGGAAGAGGAGGAGGAGAAGGGCACTTATAGGCAAGCAAATGACTTGTTAGTACTGGTGGGGGTGGGCACTGTGAGAGAACAAATGTCTTTTAGGGCAAATAAACGGGCCCTCAGGAGAATAGATGGGAGATATGATAGTTTTGTGACAATATCTATTTTTGGTGTGGTGTTGATTTCTGTCACTGGCAATATGAGTCAGTCTTCCCTGGTTCCAAAACTCCTGAAATTCCCTGGGGAGAGGATTGATGAGTTGAGTTCTTTTAGGAGGCTCTGCTTTTATGCACATGTGCGTATGTTGACTCTCAAATGCCCTTAGCTCAAAATAACTTTTATGTCACTGTGGTGCATTCTGGATCCTTTGGTTCTGCCCCTCTGGAGAACCTGGCTAATACAGTGGGCGTCTCCCTGCTGAGCAGTGGCTCAGAGATCCTGGCTGCTTCCATCTTTTTTTAAAAAAATATATATTTTTATTGTTTTCAGAGAGGAAGGGAAAGAGAAAGAGAGATAGAAAATCAATGATGAGAGAGAACCATCGATTGGCTGCCTCCTGCACGCTCCCCGCTAGGGATCAGCCCGCAACCCAGGCATGTGCCCTGACCGGGAATCAAACCATGACCTCCTGGTTCATAGGTTGACGCTCAACCACTGAGCCACACCGGCCGGGCGTGGCTGCATCCATCTTACGCTTCGTGGGAACTGGTGGCTTCCAGGTGCCATGGCCTGAGAAGAGAACCTGGGAGCTTTGTGCTGCCTCAGCCAGGAAGTGGCCCACTTCATGTATCACTTCTGATGGCCAGAACATTCCTTGGGCCCTCGCTAAGGGTGAGGGGGCTGGCCAGTGTTGTCTTCTGTGTGCCCAGGAAGGAGAGACCTGGATGTGGTGACCACTGACCATCTCTACCATCTGGTTCTTGAGTATCAGTGGGCACACCTACAGTGGCCGAGACAATGGGGGAAGCGAACAGTCCCTTTTATTTTATTTTCATTTTTTAAAATGTATTTTTCAATTACAGTTGAAGTACAATGTTATATTAGTTTTAGGTGTACGACGTAGTGATTAGACATTTATGTAACCTACAAAGTGATCACCCTGATAAGGCTAGTCCCCAGCTGACACCATACACAGGGGAGCAATCTCATTAGATGGCTTCCCCGGAGGGAATACCACCCACTTGGTGTGTTTGAGAATCTATCTCAATACTTTTATAAGCACACTTTGGGTCTATAAAATGAGATGTTGACAAACTTCTTCAAGAAAATGCCACCTTAAAGCACTGGATCGTTGCCTGAAGCTGCTCCATCAAACCTTTTTATAAAGCATATGTTGTTGTGCCTGTTTTGAATATAACTGTTTACAACATTAAAGAGGAGTCATATAAAAACCAGCTGTTCAGTGAAAAAGAAAACCTTCCAACATTTTCATTTCAACTCTTCATAGTTTTAAAAAATTCATTCATGCCCTGGTCAGCGTGGCTCAGTTGGTTGAGCGTCTTCCCACGCACCAAAGGTTGCTGGTTCAATCCCCAGTAGGGGGCGTGCAGGAGGCAGGGGATTGATGTTCTACTCTCACATCGATGTTTCTCTCTCCCTCTCCCTTCCTCTGTCTCTAAAATCAATTTAAAAAAATTTTTTTAATGCAGTAAAAAATTCACTCAAATGTGATTAATTTTGTGGGTGTCCTTCAAAGCAGAGTGAATGCCTGGAGAGCATGTTACATAGCAGAGAGGTCAAGTGCCCCCTCCCCAGGGCACCTACGAGCATTTAAAATAAAGTGAAGTGGAATCTAATGAACAAAAATAAACTAACAAACTAAAGAGAAACAGACTCATAGAGAACAGACTGACAGCTGTCAGAGGGGAGAGGGTTTGGGGGGTGAAAAAGGTGAAGGGATTAAAAAAAAACACCTCATAGACACAGACAACAGTATGGTGATTACCAGAGGGAAAGGGGGGGTGGGGGTCAACCATGGTGTTTTCCAATAAAATCAAAGGTGAAGGCCACTTAAGTATTTTGCAGGTTTCATTCTGATCGGCCCATGCAGCAGAGCAAGAGCAAATGCCCGTGCACTGGTCTGACTGCAGTTTCAGGCTAATATCACTGTTCTTGGCAGACCAAACCCCACAGTGTGGTCCTCATGTATGGGCAGCTGGTATCTTATCGTCATTGAATGGTATGAGAAAATCCATTATAATCCCCATGTGGGAATCAGTAACCCTAGAGCCCCTGTTAATGCTCGCAAATATATTCCACTCCAGCAAGCAGGGGAGTCTCCCTGCAGCTAGCTGCCAGGTGGCCTATTACAAAAGACGCCGCCTCCTTCAGTAGCCTCCCCTCTTGGTCCAAGAGGAGATGGGTCAAAAGCTTCTGCACAAAGCAGCCCGGGGAAGACTCAAGAGTAAAATCACCTTCATGCGATTGCTAACTACAGATCTCAGGTGAACTGGATCAAAGTGATCAGCTTTGTGGTGGCCTGGACACAGAGGGCAAGGAGTAGAGGTTGGGAAGCCTCGTCCTCTGTTGTTAGCATCAGCAAACACAGACTTTAATTGGAAAAGGACATTGTTATGTAAATGTCCCAGGGCCAAGAGACTGAGACAGAGGCTGACAATTCTAACATTACATCAAGAATTTATTAGGGGAACTTAGATACCAGGCATGTCTTGGGCGGTGGCAAGATGCCATGGATCTCCATGAGCAGGTGATAAGGGTTATATAGTACAGGGCAGGGTGGGTGGGGTACTGGGGTGACTGGTCCCAAATTAGGGGGAAATGCCTTACATGCTTGCCTGGGGCTGGGCAACGTTCTGTTCAAAGAAGCAGCACACCTGGGGGCTAGGGGAGGGGTCCATCAGACATTCTCTGAGAGGAGTTTCCAGAGGCAAGCTTTAGCCAGGATCTAGCTGGCGGGTCCAGCAGTATCAGGCACTGGTCACACCATGGAATAGTCTCTCCCCCATAGATATAAGGCATGGGCCCTGCCTTCCAGAGGCATCTAGTTGGGGGTCTTGAAGAACATTAAAGAAAGCCTCTAAGTGGTTCATCGATCCCTTGTCTTATGTGACACGTTGCAAAAGGACTGCATTCAGCCATCCTGACGGACAAGCCCAGGCCATCCTGGTTTCTCCAAGTTAAAGCTGATCAGTGTGAGTTTAAGGCGCCCTCTTGACCTCTGGGACAATGTGATCTTGCCTGCCAGCGGCCATAATGTGGTACAAATTCCTTCCTCCTGGCACCTGGTCCCATTCCAACTCCTTTGTTCTCTGTGAGACACAGGCCTGGGGCTCATTCCTGATCTACTTGGATGGAATTCTAGTTCTATCCTTGTTCTACCATATTTAAAATCTGTCTGAGACCCACCACCCAATCTCTCTGATACCTTAAAAT